CTGATATGATCATTTCAGAGCACTATGCTGCCCTTTTGTTCGTAATTCATGACTTGCCTAGATGTATCGAAGCAGTGGGGAGTAAATTCCTTGCTCAAGGGAATTAGCATATTTTTTCTCAGGAATAAATGAGAAGATGCAGACGTGACTGTACTTGCTAAATAATAAACGAGGTGATTTATGCCACAAGTAAGCGAAAAGAGTCAGAAACACTTAGAGGAGACCAAGAGGCTAAACAAGGAAGTTGCTGAACTGTTGAGTCACGACATAGTGAATTGTGGTATGTTCGGAAAGATGATTTTCGATAGACGGAAAAAATCAAGAAAGTGACTGGGATACAGCCCCGAAGTGCATCTGAAACACGTCTTCTGACAGAGAAATTAATGCGCTGTTGAAATTTTATAAACAATTTTAATTCGCTACATCAGATTGTCACTTAGCTCCAAATAAAAATATTAATGTGCTGTTCTTGATTAAATTGCCATTCTGACATGACTTTACCTTAAAAATTATTTTTTGATCAGAATTGAATCTTACTTCAGTCCTGTACCGCTGTATAAACAAAACATTTTCCGGGTTGTTGTTTTTGGCGGTGAAAAGTGGGATATCGAAGATGAAAGTTTCTGTTACCGAAGCCGGATGATGATGTATATTCGCGTGGCTGTAGGGCATTCACCTTATCCAATTCATTAGAACAAGTTGCAATGGCGCTCGGTTCTTGAGCTGTGGCCTACAGTGGTGAGCATGTCCGGATTTTCGACGTGGTCGGGAAGTATCGAAACCTTAAATTTGCTGTTCACATGTTGGCCACCCCTCTGTGCTGTGCATTTGACGCATACAAGGGGCATCCAGATACTCCATAATAGTTCCCGTTCTCTTGAACGTCAGAATTTACCAGCCGAAGCAAAAATGTCATGGTCCGAATGATAACTTATTAGTGAGTGACATCCTCATGCTGCTAACTGGCAGGACCTCGCCGCCGGATTTTGCAATTCGGAACTGCCAGTCGAGAAGCGACAAGCCGACCGCAGAGAGTTTCCAAATCCGGTAACGAAACGTCTGAACGGCTGCCATGTCGTGTATCAGCAGGGCAGCCGTTTTGGAGCTGAGCTTGTCCCAGGTGAATGTCTTGAGTTCAAAAGTTTAAAG